CTGCCCGCAGGATATCAGGGAAGGGGGGACCAGCCCGGAGGGGGCAGGGCTGGACGGGAGTAAGGGGAGGCAGGAAACAACTGCAATTGTGGCCCCGCCTCACAGCTGGGACTCCCAGCCACTCCCCCGCCCACGCCAGGTTTCCGTCCGTGCGTAGCCAGAAAAATCAGAAAATACCGGACATTGCACATGGCTGGTATTTTCTGATTTTTTTTTTTTTAACCGGACAGAGCGCGCTGATACCGGACACCTGGCAACCCTACTTCCTGGATGAAAGCCTGGAAGGACTGCTTACCAGTCCAGAAGTTCCAGAGCAATGAAGCCCATGGACCTGCACAGGACACAGGAACCACCAGAGGGGAAGAATGGAAAAAGCCCAGGAGTAACCAACTACTATTGGGCTGAGACAGAACCAGGTCAGTGTGTTGTGGGACAGATCCCTACTGAGCCAGCAGCAGACTTCTCTGCTGCTACTAGGGCCCTGGGCTGGGACACAGTGGAATGGGTAGACCTGCATCCCCCCTGCCACCCCACTCTAGGGTGGCAGCCTCCCCCCATGGCTGTTACTGAGCACTCATATTAAGACTGTTTTACTGTTTGCTTGCCACCCAGCCCTGAACCGAGGGCCTGGGCACCAAACTATTTTTTTGCCTTCCCGCCCTGAGAAAGGGTCTAGACTCTGGACCATTTATTGGCCTGCCGCCAGTCCTGAAGAGCTGAAAGCCACCATTAATTCCGCAAAAGACTAAGCAGGGGGTAGTGGGGTGGAGTGGCCACTCACTGACCCCCGAGGGGGAGGGGCCCCTCCCTGAGCCCTATGGGATAGTAGTCGTCCTAAAAACTTTGCTTTCAGTATTCCTGTCCCGGAAAAGGAATGAGGCTTTATAATGACGCAAACAACATTTAGAAACTGAATTTCTGTTTGTGAAGTGGGAATCCACAGGAGTCACTGGTTGATCACTGAAATTATGAGTAAAATTTTCAATGGCTTTCAAAGGGATGAGTTCCTAACTCACATAAGCACTTTTGAGCATTTTACCCTAAATCTTTTTTTTTAATTATTATTATTACTACTTGGGAAAGTTGTTCGGATACTAATATTCTCTATTATATATCTCCTTAATAGCTAAAAAACTGATCTAGTGTACCTTGTTATTTCAGCTGGGAACGTACATGTACCCATAATTAAAGTCACTGATGTAAATAACACTTACCAAATGTTTCAAGGAGTCCCACATACCAGCATGTCCTCAACTATTTCTCACACATTGTCAAAACTGCCCCCCAGGAATCTCATGCTTACTATTTTATAAGTGCACATCAGACATCTTGGGTGAAATACTTTACAAGTAAACATGAACTTACAAATGATTATTCTCACTTAACTCCCACCATGTCAGAATACAATATCTGCATCCAATTCAATCTGACATTCACAGCCAAAAGCTATCACCTCACCACTCAGAATCTGAGCTATTCAACATTCCAATACCTGTTGTGTCATATGTCACCACCCCACAGATGTCACGTGGCACAGTCCTTCACACATATGACATTCCTATGTGAGTGGAATTAACCAGGGTCAGGAAATCCATGGTATAAATCATGGGGGAGGGGAATCTAGATGGAAACTGTACCTCAATGAAGCTCTAAGTTTTCCCCTTATATACCTTCCCATTCCTCTCTACAGTCCTCATATCACTGCAACTGTCCACTGATTAGCCAGCAGCCTCAGTGTTAAAGGATAAGGATGCTAATCTGTCATGGACCTGGAAGAGGAGGATACAACCTCAAGGCTCAGGGAATGCTACCTCAGAATACCAACCTGACTGTTTCCCATGAGTGCTGAAAACACCATAGGTGTTCTGGGGATATAGTTATCATACTAAATACCTCCTGAGTTTAAAATTTCAGGCTGAAAATCTGAGAAATAAAAGAAGCAATTACCTCAGTGAGATGGGGGTTGGGGTTGAATCCACACTGGTTGCAGACCTTGCTGTGACACTGTGTACAAGTGTTGAAGTTTGGCTGATTAGGAGAGGAGGTGAGTTCTGTTGTCTTGCATATAGGGCAGAGAGTGCTGCTTGGAAGGGGTGCAATTTGTGGGACAGAATAAGGGGAGGTAGGAGTGCTGCTTCGATCTGGTGATACAGAGGGAGATCGTCCTGGTTTCTGAATTCTGGTATCCACCTGTAGTGTCCTCCTAGGTCCATCTGCTTGTTGGCTGGCCTGACCATGGCTCAGTATCTCTTCTGTGCTTTCATGGGTTTGGGTGGACTGTTTAAGGGATGGGGAAGCTGATCGCTCTTCAACTGGGAAATCCGATTGATCCAGTCTTCTTGGTGTGCTGCAATATTAAAAAGCAACATGTAAACCAAGTTTTAGAGAATTCCAATTATTACAACCATTTTTGAAAACGCAATACATAACAAAAATGGCAAACTTTCATATACCAAGAGTACTGGAAACACACTGAAGCAATCATAGAATCCTAGAACTGGAAGGGACCTCAAGAGGTCATTGAGTCTAGTCCCTTGCCCTCATGGCTGGACCAAGCACAAACTAGATCATCCCTGATAGATGTCTACGTATCTAGAGAGTCTTATATATCTCCAGTGATAAGGACTCGACAACCTCCCTAGGCAGTTTATTCCAGTGTTTAATCACTCTGACAGTTAGGAAACTTTTCCTAATGTCCAACCTAACTCTCCCTTGCTGCAGTTTTAAGCCCATTGCTTCTCATCTTATCATCACAGGCCAAGGAGAACAATTTTTCTCCCTTTTCCTTATGACACCTTCCTTATGACACCCTTTTAGATACTTGAAAATTGCTATGATGTCCCCCTCAGCCTTCTCTTTGCTAAACTACACAAGCCCAGTTCTTTCAGTCTTCCTTCATAGGTCATGTTCTCTAGACCTTTAATCATTTGTGTTGCTCTTCTCTGGACTTTCTCCAATTTCTCATCTTTCTTGAAATGTGGTGCCCAGAACTGGCTACAATACTCCAATTGGGGCCTAATCAGTGCAGAGTAGAGGAAGAATGACTTCTGGTGTCTTACTCACAACATTCCTGTTAATACATCCCAGAATGATCTTTGCTTTTTATGCGTCACACTTGACTCATATTTTTTTTTTTTTGGCAACATTATCACACACACTGTTGACTCATGTTTAACTTGTGGTCCACTATGACCCCAGCCCTACATCCCATTTAGCAGTACTCCTTCCTAGACAATCACTTACCATTCTGTATATGTAAAACTGATTGTTCTTTCATAAGTGGAACACTTTGCATTTGTCCATATTAAACATAATCCTGTTTACCTCAGCCCATTTCTCTAGTTTGTCCAGGTCATTTTGAATGTTGACTCTGCCCTCCAAAACACTTACTATCCCTCCCAGCTTGTTATCATCTCCAAACTTACAAATTGTACTCTCTATGCTGTCATCCAAATCACTGATGAAGATATTGAACAGAAGCGGTCCCAAAACAGATCCCTGCATGACTTCACTTGTCATGCCCTTCCAGCACGATTCTGAACCTTTAATAACTACTCTCTGAGAATGGTTATCCAGCCAATTATGCACCCACCTTATAATAGCCCCATCTAAACTATTTATTAATAAGATGATCATGCAAGACTGTATCAAATGCCTTACTAAAGTCTAGGTATACCATGTCTACCGCTTTTCCCTTATCCACAAACCCATTATCCCATCAAAGAAAGCTATCAGATTGGTTTGATATTATTTGTTCTTTACCCATTACCTTATTATCTTCCAAATGGATTCCTTAATTACTTGCTCCATTATCTTTCCTGGCACAGAAGTTAAACTGACTGTTCTGTAGTTTCCTGGGTTGTTCTTATTTCCCTTTTTATAGATGGGCACAATATTTGCCTGTTTCCAGTCTCCTGGAATTTCTCCTGACTTCCATGATTTTTCAAAGATGATAGTTAAAGGCTCAGATACCTCCTCTAGCAGCTCCTTGAGTATTCTAGGATGCATTTCATTGGGCCCTTGTGACTTGCCGACATCTAACTTTTCTAAGTAATTTTTAACTTGTTCTTTTTTCATTTTAACATCTGACCTTCCCCCATTTCCACTAGCATTCACTATGCTAGGCATCCTGTCACCATCTGTTCCCTTGACAAAAACCAAAAAAAAAGAAGTCATTAAGCACCTCTGTCTTTTCCAAGTTTCCTGTTATTGTTTCTCCCTCTTCACTGAGCAATGGGCCTACCTACCCTGTTCTTGGTCTTCCTCTTGCTTCTAATATACTTGTAGAATATCTTGTTACACTTTATGTCTCTAGCTAGATTTAGCTCATTTTGTACCTTTGCCCTTCTAACCTTGCCCCTGCATACCTGTGTTGTTTGCTTATATTCATCCTTTGTAATTTGAACTAGTTTCCACTTTGTACAGGAGTCCTTTTTGATTTTTGGATCATACAAGATCTCCTGGTTGATCTAAGCTAATCTCCTGCCATACTTTCTATCTTTCCTATTCAGTGGAATAGTTTGCTTTTGGGCCCTTAATAATGTCCCTTTAAAGAACTGTCAACTCTTTTCAGTTGTGTTTCCTCTTAGTCTTAAAAAAGGCCTCATCCACCTCTTCTGCCTGGGTTGGTGGTCTGTAGTAGACCCGTAGTATAACATCACCTTTGTTTTCTACCACTTTTAACTTAACTCAGACTCTCAACAAGTCTGTCTCCTACGTCCATCTCCACCACAGTCCAAGTGTTTACAGTTTTAACATACAAGCCAACACCTTCTCCCTTTTTTCCCTGCCTATCCTTCCTGCGCAAGCTGTACAGAGTGCAATCTTCAGGGTGCTGAAATCTTTCAATTCAGTGGCAATTTAGGATGCTTAGCAGGGAAGTGATTAAAGTAAATTTCACATACTTTAAACTTCTGTTTATCTGGATTAGGGCTGTTAAGTAGCAATTAATTTACTAGTTGAGTAGTCGATGACATTTCCATCGACTACTCAACTAGTCGATAAGCACTTCTGCATTCCATTTTTGAAATGGACAAGAGCCCCAGTGGGTGCTCTTGTGTATTTCAAAGTTTGAATGCCGCGTGGAGCCCAGGGCCAGCAGGAAGTCCTGCTGGCTCTGGGCTCCACACAGGAGCTTCCACTTTGAAATGCACAAGATCCCCCACTTGGGACTCTTGTACATTTCAAAGCTGACATGCCTCATGGAGTCAGCTGGGGAGTCCTCAGCTGATCCCAGGCTCTACACGGTGCCGCCACTTTGAAATGGCGCACAAAGCCTGTGGTCAGCTGATCCTGGGCTCCACCCAGCATTTCAAAGCAGTAACGCCACACTGAGCCCGGGTCAGCTGGGGAGTCCTCAGCTGATCCCAGGCTCTACACGGTGCCGCCACTTTGAAATGGCGCACAAAGCCTGTGGTCAGCTGATCCTGGGCTCCACCCAGCATTTCAAAGCAGTAACGCCACACTGAGCCCGGGTCAGCTGGGGAGTCCCCAGCTGATCCCAGGCTCCACGCAGCAATGCTGCTTGGTAATGCCACAAGGAGCCTGATGCCGGGCTCCCCTGGCATTCAAAGCAGCAGTGTCGCATGGTACAGCTAACGCCAGGCTCTGTGCAGCGCTGCCACTTTTAAGCACCCTCGTGTCCACCCCACCTTGTTGCCTCTATCTAACAGAGGCAGCAAGTGGAGAGGGGGAGCAACTAGTCGACTATCCTGTTGACTATCTGATAAGCATTTGCTTATCGACTAGTCACCTACTCCTTTACATCCCTAATCTGACTACATGTAAATAACTGAGTTACTTGGTGTGTTCTAAGAGGAATCCTAGGGGTGTCTCCACACTGTTTTATGGAAAAGATGTTTCATCAAAAGTACACAGCAGACTGACAAAAAAGGGCTTCACTTTAGCATTCTTCCATCATCAGTTCATAGATACACAATACAGCACTTGCTCCATTTTCCAAGAACAGTGTGATCTGACTTTTGCAAAGCCTTGTACTAAAAGAAAATATAAACCAGAAATCTATAAATAAGCAACATGCGGATAATGTAATAATAATGGCCCTGTCTATTGTGCTAGATCTATTTGACAAAGAAGAGTGTGAAGGCAGTCAAGGAGCTGGTTAAGGCTTATTGATTCTCAAGCCACCCTTATACAATTTATACATTATAGCAGCCAAAGGCCAACTAACTTGACACCAATCTGGCCATGTTTCTAAACAGACCATATGTCAGTGGAAAACAACAGAGTGCAAGCATGTGCCATCCTGTCCTAGACACTTCATCTATGGTGAGTGAAAAGCAGTTGGCATAGCAGCTGGCCGGGCTTCATCCAAGTGTCCCCTTAGACTAGAAAAATTCTCTGTTGGTCTAGCTTCTAGCCACTTTGTATCACCTGAGTGCTGCAAAGTAGCTGGGGACAGGAGCAGAGGATCTGGCTGTGAAATCCAATTCAAATAAAAGCATTTTTTGATGGCAAAAAGGCAGACTCTCACAAATCCCAAGGCCAGAAAGCACCAATGTGATACCAAATCTGACTGCACAACAGAGACCATAGAACTTCCCCCTGTGTGTCCATAATCTGATCTTTTTTAACTAGATCTTATCTTGTTATAAAAATTCCCAGTAATGAAAAATTCATGTACCGGTCCCCAAAATTGTTCCAGTGGTTATTTACCATCACTAGTAAACATTGTTGCTGAAACAAAAGACAGAACTATGTAGCACTTTAAAGACTAACAAGATGGTTTATTAGGTGATGAGCTTTCGTGGGCCAGACCCACTTCCTCAGATCCATATGTGGAAGAAAATCGGCATAACCATATATACCAAAGTGATACAATCAAAAAAAAGTGAACGCATGTGAAATTGACAAATCAAATTTTAGAACAGAGTGTGGGTGGGGGAGGGGGAAGGTACGTTTTTGTGAGGTAGTGACATGGGGTGATAATAGGGGAAGTTTCTGTGAGGTAATGACATTAGGGGTAATAATTGGGGAAGCTATCTTTGTAATGGGTGAGATAATTAGAGTCTTTGTTTAAACCCATACATAAAGTGTCAAATTTAAGCATGAATGACAATTCTGAAGCTTCTCGTTGAAGTCTGGAGTTAAAGTCTCTTTGAAGCAATATGCATGTTTTAAGGTCATTAAGTGAATGATCAGTCTGGCTGAAATGGCAGGCAACATTGTACGATTGAATTTGAGTTTGAATTTGAACAACTTCAACTTGCAGACACTGGATTGTTTTATATCTCTGTATGCTAGACTGAAAAGCCCATTATGAAAATTTTGTTCCTCATCTAGGTACTTTAGAATATGAACAAATCACCCCTAAACCTTCTCATTGTT